AAATAAAATCTAAAAAAAAAAAAAAAGAATAATACCAAGGCAGCTTTTCGAGAGACAAGCTTTACTGAATTAAAGTCTATGGGTTTGTTTAAATTTTTTCCCCTCTGAATCACAAAAGTTTTGGTTCTCATAGAAATTTGGAAAATAGGGCACTGGGTGGCTCAGATGGTTAAGTGTCTGCCTTCGGCTCAGGTCATGATCCCAGGGTCCTGGGGTCGAGTCCCGCATCAGGCTCCCTGCTCCTTGGGAGCCTGCTTCTCTCTCTCTCTCTGTGTCTCATGAATAAATAAATAAAATCTTAAAAAAAAATTTGGAAAATAAAGAGATAAAAATAAGACTCAAGCATTTCCACCCTACGAAAATAATCAGAATCAAAAACACAAGAAATAACAAGTGTTGGCGAGGATGTGGAGAAAAAGGAACCCTCGTGGGATCCTTGGTGGGAATGCAAACTGGTGCAGTCACTGTGGAAGACAGACAATATGGAGTTTCCTCAAAAAATAAAAAATAGAACTACCCTATGATCTAGTAATCACACTACTGGGTATTTACCCGAAGAATATGAAAACACCAATTTGAAAAGATATTTGCACCGCTGTGTTTATTGCAGCATGATTTACCATAGCCAAGATAGGGAAGCAACCCAAGTGTCTATCCATAGATGAACGGATAAAGAAGATGTGGTACATATAGACAAGGGAATATTACTCAGCCATAGAAAAGAATGAAATCTTGCCATTTGCAACAACATGGATGAAGCTAGAGGGTATAATGCAAAGTGAAATAAGTCAGTCAGGAAAGGACAAAATACCATATGACCTCACTCCTATGGGGAATTTAAGAAACAAAACAAACACGCAGAGGAAAAAAAACGGACAAACAAAAAAGCAGACTCTTATAGGGAACACACTGATGGTTACTACAGGGGAGGTGGGTGGGGGGATGGGTGAAACAGGTGATGGGGATGAAGAGCACACTTGCCATGATGAGCGCTGCGTAGAGAATTACTGAATCACTATATTGTATACCTGAAACTAATATGACACTGTATTTTAATTACACTGGAATTAAAATTAAAAAGATAATCAGTATTGCATTTTGATACTTTTCATTCAGCCTTCCTATCTCTTTTTCCTTCTCCCTCCAGAGAGCCCCACGTATGTATGTGTATTGGGTATGTGCGTAAAGACCTGCTTATACACGGCTCTTGCTCATTTGTGCAGTCTCATTATAAAGGTAGGATTATACTGCAGCTCTCTGCTTTTAAAAGTATTTTTATTTTTTTAAAAAAATTTTATTTATTTATTTGACAGAGACAGAGATAGCGAGAGCAGGAACATAAGCAGCGGAAGTGGGAGAGGGAGAAGCAGGCTTCCCGCCAAGCAGGGAGCCTGATGCGGGACTCGATCCCAGGACCCTGGGATCACGACCTGAGCCGAAGGCAGACGCTTAACGACTGAGCCATCCAGGAGCCCTTAAAAGTATTTTTAAATGGCCATTAAATATTCTTGAAAAATATTCCCTGAGATCAAGAGTAGCGTGTTCTACGGATTGAGTCAGCCAGGCACCCCAAACTACCATTTTACTGTTGGAAACTTAGGCTGTTTCTAGGTTTCTGCTCTTTGTTAGTGATCCACGTTGTGTATAAACCTTGTCTGAGCATCTTATTTTCTTAGAGCTATTCCCTAGGAATAGCTAGATCAGAGAACGTGCTGGATCTGAGGATTCACTGTTCTGTTTTTTGGGGTCTCATGAGCTGGAGAAAGCACTCACATTCAGATGCTCCTCTCTATGTGTAGAGTTACTTTACCTTCTAGTCATAGAAGATACCCGCTTCTGTCGCACAGAAGAAGAAATCATTTTACTTACCAAACATTTGTAGCAAGCCTTTGTCAATAGACCAGGATGAACCCAAGGACGTGGTTAGATTGAGACCAGCACTGGGGGCACAGTTCTTTGGTATGCATAGCTCCCCCTTTGGAAATGAACCGATTTCTGACTCCATTCCATTCTGTTATATCCCCTCATCTTTCAGCACATTCAACTGAGGCACCTTTCCAAAGGATTTATAATTTTGGTTATTTTTAATATGTTAATTGAGGAGAGTATGACATTAGTATGTCTCTTTTTTTTTTGAGAGAGAGATAGAGCATGAGTGGTGGGAGAAGAGCAGAGGGAGAGAGAGAAAGAGAATCCTTTTTTTTTTTTAAAGATTTTATTTATTTATTTGAGAGAGAGAATGAGAGAGAGCAAGCACATGAGAGGGGGGAGGGTCAGAGGGAGAAGCAGACTCCCTGCCGAGCAGGGAGCCCGATGCGGGACTCGATCCAGGGACTCCAGGATCATGACCTGAGCCGAAGGCAGCCGCTCAACCAACTGAGCCACCCAGGCGCCTGAGAGAAAGAGAATCTTAAGCAGGCTCCAGCACAGAGCCAGACTAAGGGCTCAATCTCAGGACCCTGAGATCATGACCTGAGCTGATAGCAAGAGTCAGAGGCTTACCCAACTGAACCACCCAGGCGCCCTGACATTAGTATCTTTGATGATGGTCCCAATGCCTCAGTCATCTGTCATATTGGCAGCACATTATTCTGTGCAAAGGATCCTTGCAGATGATGGAGTTTACCAGTTATAGTGGTAGAGTTTGGGTACAAAAGTTCTGATATTGAGAACAGATTTTCCTGACTTGTTACTTATAATGGACCTTTCATGACAAGTTGGGTTTTCCTCTGTGCATATTGACTGGGAAAGTCCTCGAAGGCAAAAGCACTTCTCCTAGGTTTATATGGGTTATTTTATCCTCTGTCGCTCATGGGAGAGCCTTGGAAGGAAGGTCTATTTCTACCCTATGTTTGGGAGAGTCAGAAACCCATACTCCCCGAGTGGGCAAGCCTTAATTGAATACCTATTCCGTGTCAGGCAGGTCCATGCTGGGCGTTCAAGAGGACAGACCCAGGCGTTGCCTGGAGGAGCTCGCTCCTGTGGGGGGACAGTGAACTCATTGTGGGGCAGCTGGATGGCCCGACGCCTCAGGTTTTCACAGAAGGAGGCAGATGGAGATTGACCATCATGTCAAAAGGCATTTGAATCTGGCCTCTCCTAATTCTTGGTTCTTAGCTTCTCTGATCTTCCATTACTTCCTGTGACAGGGGGACATCAGGGGGTCTGAGGTTGGGATAAGATCACGTGTCTGGTGCCCTTAACACGCAATAGCTGGTAAGCCATGATGTCACCTTTGTTACTATTATTTCTACTAGGGCTTAGCTGTGGAGATGGCAGGGGTCTGGGGTTCCACTCTCAGAAGTAGTTATGACTCAAAATCAACAGAAATTGCGGACTAGCTGGATAGGCCAGCGCCAGGGACCAAGGAGAATAAACATCTCTTTGCAGTACTGAGCTCCTGCGGATTTGTACCTCCGCGCCTCACTTGGACCCTCACAGCCTTACAGCCCTGGGGCAGATGCAGATGAGATGCCCCAGGCGGGAAGGGGATGGGGTGTGGGCTGTGCTCCCACACCTCTGCAGCCTCACCCCCTCATCCCCACCATGCCAGCTCTGTCTTGGGCCAATCTTGGACGGCCTCAGTTTCCCTAATACGGTGGTGTGGTGGTGAGGGTGGGGGTGGCTGCAGAGGAGGGTTGATTTCGAGGGGGTATCAGGAGCGCCAAGTTTCCTGCATTTAGAATGTTTAAGGGGCCGCCTGGCTCAGTCGGTAGAGTGAGCGACTCTTGACCTTGGGGTTGTGGGTTCCAGCCCCATACTGGGTATAGAGATGACTTAATAAAGTAAAATCTTTTTTTTTTTAAGATTTTATTTATTTATTTGAGAGAGAGAGTGAGAGAGAGAGAGAGCACAAGAGGGGGGAGCGGGAGAGGGAGAAGCAGGC